ATGCGATTATTGGCGACATCCATCCATCGCTATAAAAAACATAATATATGCATTAAAATCCTTTCATCCATAGTGCGAGTTTTGATCCTTGTCCAAAAACTTGTTGTCTGTAGTTTTTCAGTTTATTTGATGTTAAAATGCTAGTATTTACGAATAGTCTTCTATTCATCATCAGGCATGTGTTTTTTTTTCCTTATAAAATCAAAAACTTGAGACGATATACCTGTATGTCGACCGAAAGATGTTTTTGAATATATCTGCTATTATTGATTTATTATATATATATATATATATATATATATATATATATATATATATATATATATATATATAGCTGGCCATTTCATATTATTCGATGTCTACTAGGGCGGCTTGCCAATTTTTATTGCAGACACTTTGCTCAGGCGCATTTGTGTTATTCTATATCCACAGAGCCCACCTGGGGTTTATACTGCAACTATCCTTAATTACAGTTTCTGGGAAAGAGCGTGTTATCTAGTGTGATCACCAAATTGAACAAGCCCGGCACACTCAAGCCCTCGTCCACGATTACTTGTGACTTTGTGTTAGCACAGCTATCGACGACTCCCAGTGGTTCCGTCTACCCGTTGTATGGTTTTCAGGCACGTTGGGACCGACCCCTCCAATCCGATAACACCAGGGAGTCTTCTTACTGACAAATCGGCCATGGTGAGATGCGAATGTTCTAAACACGTAAAGACAATATATATATATATATATATATATATATATATATATATATATATATAATTATATATAATGTTAAATTTTGAGAGTGTATTTTTATCTTCTTAAGGGAGTTTCATCTTAAAAGTGATAATTTTAAATATACCACTCTTTAACTATTAATAGTAATAATAATATTAACGAAATCCCTTTAATAATGAAGCACTTCAGAAGTCACCTAAAGTTAAACTTTAACTATAAAATCAAACTAAAATCTAAATAAATTTCAAACGTTAAAATATAGGTAATGATTTGAAAAATATTGTGTATATGTAATTTATGTATGAAGATGGATGAACATTTGTGTATATTGTTGTACGTGTGTCTATGTGTGTATTTGCACATGTAAATGGAAAAATGTATATGTGGATTTGCATGAATATGTTTTTGTGAGATACATATAAGAAGAAAACAAAATCTTTAATATTACCCTCAAATATTATTAAATAATGAAACCTAAACCTTAATTAAGTTTACCCTTATAATAATAAAGAAAAATTGCATTCATAAATTAGATTTAAAGTAAAACTAATATAGATGTTATTGTTACCAAATTTTTTTTTACAATATTATGAAAGTACAATTGGTCGGGTAAATAAACTATTATAATTTTAAATATTTCTTTAATATGTTCTCGATAAATGTGCTAATAAAAATAGTAGTTATTTTATATTAAGTCCCTAAACTATTTACTTAAAAAACTAAATATTTAAATTGATAACATTCATCATTTTTTAGACATCTAAATTTCTATCAAGCATTGAAATCTATCTTTTACATAATTTTGTTAAAATAAAATTACAGCCTTTTCGATTCACTTCCCTCTCCCCCTCTCTCTTTGCCGTAACACTCATTTAGATATATCTGTATTACTGTTGTCTATCTCCTATATCCTTTCCATTTTTCCTTTTCTTTTCCCCCCACTAGCCTCCCATTCCTATATATCATTTCCGTTAAGTTAACCATCTAAATAGGTCACGATTAGGTCACTCCTCCTACCCCAATATAAAACATGCTTAAAAGAAATATGAAATTAACCCCTCCCTATACTCTACCTTGTCTCGTTAACTACAACTATCACCCTCCCTGTTAAATTACAAAAATTACACTACCCATCAATTTCTAATCCCATTTTTCCTTTCATTTCGTTGTTGGAAGTGTTACCTGATGATCCGGAGTCCTTCAAAAAGGATTTTGGTGAAATACATTATTGTAATGGTACCTTAAAGTGGTCTGTTTTTTTTCATTAAATATATATATATATATATATATATATATATATATATATATATATATATATATATATATATACTAGAAGTATGTCCCGGCGTTGCCGTGCTTGATTCAAAAATCGTACGACTCATACAGCAATCGCTATCACTTGACTTGAAATATTTTGCCCTTCCTTGCCTTTAAAGGAGTGCCCTTTGCCATGCTGATGTTGCTACATGCCTTACTTCTTGTCTATTTCCACTATCGATGGGAGTTGGGAAATACAAAGTCGGTCTTGGCCTTCCCGCTAACTTGGAGCATGTGCATGTTTGTTTGTTTTTTAGTGCAAATCCGTCGAAAATTGCGGCCGTGCATTCGTTACACACACACACACACACACACATTCCGCCTTTTATAGATTGCGATATATATATATATATATATATATATATATATATATATATACAGAACCCAGATGGAAAATAAGGCATTAGGTTTCAAACTCTCATCCCTTGAACCTCGGTCAATTTGTTTATGCGCGATAGTGGCTCTCATGCCTGAGCTACAAGCGCTAACTTGTGAAGAAATCAAATCGATATAATGTGGTAATTAAGAATAGATGTTTATTCCTTGTTTTTCCCAGACGTTTCGGTGTGCCACATTGAATTTGTTTTAGATATAAAAAGTATATTCTTATTATTATTATTGTTAGGTTTCCTTTGGGTTTTCTGGTGTATACTTATTTGTTTCTAGGTCCCGACCAGAGGCCTAGGCTCAGAAATAGCATCATGACGTTTTCCAATGAGCAGTTTAAAAAAAAAATAAACTCGCACATATTTTACATAAATAAAGCCCTTCGTAAGATGAGGATTGTACTTGTGTGAATAAACTACATCCGCCTCTTAGGTAAGACGATAAACTACGTCCAACACTAAGGCCTCTGATCAGGAGGTTTTGAAGATTGTGTAACAAGCTCTTAATTGCTGATGTTCCCAGGTCCACCATTACCCGGGTTGGTAGCACTTGTTAGGGTCCCAATATGGGTAAATAATTTTAAAAAATATTACCAGCGATACATTATTAAAGAAAAAAATTACAAGCAATATGTTTATAAAGAAGAATATTAACAGCAATAAAAATTGTCCGCATTAAATGACCAATTTGCGGTTGATAATCCGAAAAAACAAACCAAAACCAAAACCAAAACCAAACAAAACCAAAACCAAAACCAAAACCAAACCAAACCAAAACCAAAACCAAACCAAACTATACCAGCTATACATTTTTAAAGAAAAAATATTACCAGGAACTTGTCGAGGTTGAGGTTGATATGAGGTTGATATGCGATAAAACGAAACTGTACTTGTGAGTACAATTTTCTTTATATTTCTTTAAGGCATGGGCTATGAGGGATTCCTGCAATGAGTCTATTGAAATCTTTTCTAATCAATCCGAGGGCTCCAACTACAACTGGAATTGTTAATGTCCTCATGTGCCACATTTTTGAGATTTCGCTTTCGAGGTCCTTGTATTTCGATTTTTTTTTTGGTGGGGGGAAGATCTTCAAAGATACATTACAATCTGCAAGGACTGCTATTTCAATAAGGAGGCACATTTTGTCTTTGCGGTCTTTAATCGCCCTGACAACGTGATTCTATTATTATGAGAGACTAAAGGAGAAGGAAGAAAAGGAAATAAATACCTCACATTGCTATATATAAGGCGAATAGAAGAGAAAAAAAAGGAAGAAAAATTTTATAAAACGGATTGAGAGTAATTCCTTATATCATTGCAAATGAGCAAAGAGAAAGAATAGACGAACACAAAAAAGAAAAATACCGTAAAGTGAGGAAAAAAAACATTGTCTTTTGAAAAAAATGTATTCACTTTTGAAAAACAAAAAAAAGTCTATCGTAAGATAGAAAAAATATTTCACTGAAAGCAAAAGCTAATGAAATCATAAATACTAATAAACTATGTGGTAATTCCATTGTTTTTATAAACAAAACATTAAGGTACCCACATATTTTAATAATGAAGTAAAAAGTATTCATATTATGTCCAGTTTTTTATTTCTTTTTCATTTTGCTTGAGACCTGAAAACAATTATAATTTATTCTCCAAAACATAAAAAAAGCAGTATCCTCAGTAAAATGTGTCCCTCTTGTCGTTCTTCTCGACCTGTTCTTCTGGACTACAATACCTTACTTTTTGTAATCATTTTGCAGACAAAAAACACATAAAAATGTCTGAGTGAAAATACAATTTGTTGCAAATATATTTTCGAACCTTTGGCCTTGATCGTTATTTATTAATAATTAAAAGTATCCGTAGAGTCTTTTTAGTTTGTTTTTTTTTTATGCCAATAATCTAAGTGTCTATGATTCTTTGGTAATTTCTAAGTTTTAATTGTCTTGCTGTGAAAGATGGCATTTTTACAACTCCCTAGTGGTTATTAATCATAGTTAATTCCATGAGAACCTTCACTATTGTTGTTGTTTCCTCCCTCGAATGAGTCGATTGTGGACTCTTCCACTGAGTATAAGACTGGTTGGAGATTAAGTCTCGGGGATTGAATGTACCCGCACACATTCAAATCATGTAATACTCTTCTGTACATTTAATGTTCAAAATACTACTTATCTGCAAACACTTCTTTTGTTATTCCGTAACCATTCATTTAGTCACAACAAATTGGCGACGATGATTTGTACTTCACGTGGACACTAAAATTTTCCGTCGCCAGTGTCTACAGCAAATATCTAAACATAAACGGAATCGAAAAAAGAGAAATTATTTTCGAAGTTTTCAAAGAAAAGTTTTATCATAAATCATCCGAACCTAAATGAAGCATTACAACAAAAATGACTGTGAGCAATTGGCTCGTTTGAAAGACACTTTAGAAAAGAAAATATTTTCCCGAAATCTACCAGTAATTTTTCCGCATGAACAAAAAAAATCTTTATGCGACGAAGCAAATTATCATGTCGTTTCTTCATATTTCATATTCTTAAGATTTATCACTTTCAAACTATATTGGCTTACGGCCATATCAAACTAAAACACCGGTTCCCGTATGATCACCAAGAGTTAAGCAACGTTGAGTCTGGTCATTACCTAAATTGGTGACCGCTTGGGAATACTAGATGCTGTAAGCTTGAATGTGCAGATGGTGTAATCGATAATGGCACAGAAATGGAAATCGGAGAATCCAGTTTCAATTCCGATCTGGTTCGTTATATTCAATTAACGCAAATATCCTTGAAATAGATTTCACTACACCTCTTTTCCCTTAGATGTGAGTTAATTAGGTAAAGCTTGCACAACTAAATCATTATTATCTCAAAAAGAATCCCTCTTACAATCTAAAAATATTTGTTGGCATTAAATAACCAGCAAAAGGTTGATAAGCCGTAAAAATCAAATGAAACATTCGAACTAAATTTTGTTTCATTTCACACAACACTCTTCAAATAGCTATTCTAACAAGTTGAAAATATTAAAAAAAATCAATTTTAAAACGGAAATCACTTTTTTTCTAACTGAATACGCAATATGAGCTTTCAACGAATAATCCTTTTTTATGATGGTTTAAATAACTTATTTGATGATGTGAGAATTTATTATCCAACTCGAAATTTGTTCATCATATTGTAAATTTCGGTAGAATTTCCATTAATATTGACCTATTTATTTTTGTTAATTTCAGATATAAAGAGTGTTTCATTAAGTTGGATTATATATAACGGTGTTTCATTAAGACGGATCAAAGTCAGCAGTAAATAAATCAGTGTTATTGGTGAATTTTTTTTCTCTCTATTGTATCATGTTATTTAAGTCATGACAATTATGAGTGAAAAATAATATCGCCCAAATGTCCGCCAAATCTGGAAGAAAAAGAAAAAATCATTAGACGCTTAAACTTAATTCACATTTAAAATCGGTCCAAGTTATTGGGATACCCTTTAGAAACAATTTTATGGGTGGTTAGAAAGATATAACCTCAAAAAGAGAAACGAAATATTGGAAATATAGTTACTGATATGAAATGTTCTTATTCTTCCTAAACCTTGCTCTGTCATCCATTTACACAGGTTCGCTAGGTAGGTTATTCATTGTCTACCTCTGCCCATCTTGCTTCCGATCTATCCTGTGAGTATCAAATTTACCAAGCCCTTTTTCCTCATTCAATCACCTAGAAATTTCAACTATTTCTTCTTGATTTTAAGTATAATTGTCCTTTTTGTTTCCATTTCCTCTAAAACTTTGTCGTTGCTCACATGTTAAGTATCCTTCTATAGAACCATATTTCTGTTGTTTCAAGTCTCCCCTTTATCAGCGAGGGGATTGCCTGGAGAACTGATATTACATAACAGTCCAATACTGTTTTCTAATGAAATTTGTATCTTTCTTAATAATTCCGTTATCTTTTGGAAGCCATCTTTTACTATCCTAATGCAACCTCGGATTTAAATGTCGCACTTTTCGTCCTCTGTTATATATTTTTTGTACTTTTTTGATTTTGGTATCTTTTGTAATTTACATGTTAGGATGTTCCTTTTGCTCACCACCATGTATTTTCTCTTCTTGCAATTGATGTGTAATCTTTTCTTTTTGCTTTCTTTCAGTATGGTAACCCAACATTGGCAATTGCAAAAAAAGTTTAAAAATCAAAAAAAAAAAAAAGAAAAGAAAAGAAAAGAAATATCATAAAAGAAAGACGGTGGTCTAAAAACTTCATCAGGCTGACAATGAAGGAGTGATGCTAAAACTGTGAAATCTTGCATGTATTAATTTCAATCATTCTTATTAATAACTACATTGTTTTCTTCAAGTAAACTAATATCTAACTGTTTAAAGATGTATGTTCATCCTGTTGGCAAAAAAGTCAACGACAACAGATATAACATCAACATCACTGCGATACTGATTTCGAACCAAGTGTTTTTTTCATGTTCAGGAACAGATGATAGTCAAATCAAGAGAATCGGGACGTTTATCAACCAGTTCAAAACCACATTCACGCATAGCAGCCATTGAAATGAAGGAGTTGTATACTAGAGCATTGTCCCGGTGAAACAAAACCGCTTTCCTCAGTTTTCATGGGCATTTGGTACTGATACCTTTTCTTATCTGCAAGTTGATGTAGTACTCTCCATAGTCAATGAATATAATGCCTTTTACATCCAAAAAAAGAACTGAGCCATAAACCTTCCTTGCAGATGAAATGACCTTGGCCTTCTCTGGAGCAAGCGGGGATAATTCATTCGTTTCAATTCTTAATATCCTCTTCGTCTTTCTCTTCAAGATTATCACACTTTTAACAAACAATAGGGATTCTATCTTTACTCCTGTTCTTTTGTTTTTCATTGGAATTGAACTCTATAAAATAACATAACAGAAAAGTAGGGTTATTAAATGTAAATTCCCAAAGTTTAATACGAGAATACGACCGTAAGTAAAAGGGTTCATTAAGTTTATGCCTTTCATCTGGTTGTTTGAAACGCTGTGTTGGACAATGAAATTCTGGTTTAGTGTAATTGGCAAAATTTATATCAAAAGAACAAAAATCAGGATTTAAACAAGTCATTCTCAACGTGACCCTTAGTCCCAAAAGTGGGCCAAAGAAATATTTTAAATATAACTGCAGACAACACGAGCAGTATAGTCATAAGTTCGGGTATATATTTTTCTGCTACAATTTTCTTTTGTAAATAAAATGTATTTCCTGTCACATGGAATTTCTATTTATACTTTATGTAAGCTTGAAATACTTTTGAAGCAAAAATGGGCAACAAGGAAGAGAAAGTTGAGAATCAAGGCCTTAAACGATGACCATTGTCAGTTTATATTTCATTGGAGATCAGCGGCTATCATCAATGGATGATTAAACCATTTTTTTTCTTTTTTTGCAAATATAATGGGCAGCCTTTATACAGGATTATAATCTATGTGTCTATGAGGTTAATAATTACAAGGATTCAGGAAGTCCTTTCCTGAAGTATTTGATAGTAAATACAACCGGAAGTAGAAGGCAATGACATTGCTATGTCCTCATATATGATTCCTTATTAGAAAACTGTCGAGAAATAGTGACAACTTAGTATAAAGAATGCAGAACTCCAGTTTGCATGGAATGATTTAAGTACTATCCCACTGTTAACACTTCCGCTGCTAACTACGGAGATGTTCGTTTTTCTTATCTTGCTCCAGCTGGCTAAGTACGGAAACCTACGTTTTTTTGCATACCACTGGTATGAGTTTCCCGTTACGCCATCTATCGTAAAATCACAAAGGATAATGTTTCAAAAGATATCATGTGTATACCCATTACTGATCTGGTAAGTCATTCCCAGGTATATCCATGAAAATGGAAGGCTGTAAAACACACTGGTGCCAGTTTTCTGTGTAATAAAATATGTAGGTTGAAATTTGGCATTTTCTTTAAAAATGGCTGGCCGGATGGGGGCAACACTGGGCAAAGGAGTAGCAGTGAAAGGGTTAAAAAAATATTAAATTTAGGAACATCTTGGCGAATTTCACACAAACAGGAAATCGTTAAGGCAAAAAGAGCGGATAAAAACAATCTACTTAATTAAAATAAATGAAAACACGAGTGAGAAGGTGAGTAAGGAAAAACATTACTAAGGGCGATAGAATGTAGTGGAGAGCTGTGATCGCTCACCTCCTGAGGGACATGACACAAAGAAGAACATTTGTTTTATTTCCTTGTTTCTTTATTTTTATAATGTAAAACGTTTATATTATAATTTTCATATTTTTTTCATGCATTTACAGCGAAAAATCATTCTTTAAAAAAAAAATGGACTTTTCCCGCCGTTTTCAGACTAAAAAAGTATCAACTAATATGAAATAACTTTTAACATGTACAAATAGCATGAAATCAATCTACATGTTTTAATTTAATAAAAGATTTGGTTCGAAATTTTTAGAATGTTACTGAATTCTACAAACGTTAACAATCAAGATAAGGATTCAAATTCAAATAAACCAATGTATAATAATAATAATAATTACGAATAACCTGACATAAATCGCTTAAGCAATAACTTAGTTGAACACCTATTTTGTAAGTGAGTTCACTTAATAATGATAATTCCTTATATCGATAATACGGGAAAAAATTATTGTCTGTTCTTAAGCAATAACTTAGTTATGGCACTGCTATGTAACTGAATTCCGTTATATGCGATGAATACTGAAAATACTTGTGCAAACACAAATTCTAAATTCTTATGTAAATAAGCTTTCGACTGCACAGCAAAACTTTAGGAAAATATATACAAAGAAATATTTTAAAATGATTTATACGATTCGAAAACATGATAAATTTCATACCTTAGCGAGTTAAAAAGTTTTTATTGACAATGTCAAAAATTCAGTAAATATTGCCTCTTTAGGGCTTCTAAAGTTATGGAAATAAATGTACAACGTGAAAGTTGTTTTAACGTAAAATTTCAACCATAAAATAAATTGCATCCTTACTCTGAGAATACATTTAATGTAAATGCATTTGCATTAAAATACTAATATTTTATCCCCAGTAAGTATTATGCCGGAATAGGTTTTGAACCAAATTTCGTATCAAACCAAGGAAATCAGATGTAGAGTTTATCTGCGATTACTACGATCTGCTATTCATCAGTTGTCAGTGGTGTCTCCGAGATGAGAAAACCAGGGAAGCTAACTGATCTTGGTATGTGCGGCTCCAAAGAGCAATGACCAGTCTCTCAGAGAAGAATGTAAGGTCCTAAGTTCCGACATTGTCTGAGTGTAATGATCGAAATCAGAAGTGCCATAAATTGTAATGTTAAATATAAAAGATTCAAGTCTCCTGTTCTCATGAACCGGAACATTCACTTCATTACATTTCCTGACATGTGACGAAAATTGTTTCATCCGAGTACAAGATGCAAAGAATCATTAAATAAACGCTATCACTTTTTGACCCTTGACACAGTGAACTCAAGGTTAATGTAAGAAGCAGTAAGTCTGAAACGAACTCACTTGTCCAAAAGATTAACATAAAAACCACTCTTTTGAAATACCATTTCATTCGAGCAAGGAGTCAATCAGAATTTTAAAAAGCTTAAATTAAATACTTTTAATTTCAGAGAAGCGACGATTTTGGCACA